CGAAAAAAAATATCCATCAAAGCCCTACTTACAAAACAAGTTTTCGGGCCACTCTTCTCGCAGAAGTAAAAACGCAGCTTGGCGCCCGCAGTGTCCAAAGGTCTCCAGGACACATTCAAATCCTGCACCTGGCCGGTGCTCCGGTTCTCTTTCTCCAGGATTTCTTTCTCGACCCGCACGTCAAAATTCTCAGGTATAGCCAGTTCTGGGCGGGAAAACATCAAAACAACAATCAGGCTACTCCGTCTTTGTTTTAGTACGGTGCTTGCAACTGCATAAGGTCATATACAGTCTTCACAAAAAGTTAAGGACCACTTGCAAAAGTGCACGAAAAATAAAAATCAGCAAATCAAATTATTCATTCTTTAACATACATTTAATTCATCAATCCGTAAGTGTAAAAAAGAAATTTCATCACAATCAGGACAGAAATGCATGATTTCCAGCGTTCAAAAGGGACCCACCCTCAAAATCGAAAATCACAAAAGAAAGGCTGGGGGAATGTTGCTCCATTTTTGTTACAGCAATCCAAGCAGCTGCTGGTGGGCACAGGGTAGTTCTCCCGAACTCTCAGATAAAGCTCAGCCTACAACTGTTCAATAGGATTGAGGTCTGGACTGTTGGCTGGTCAAACCATGCGGGTAATCCCCGCCAGCAGCACGAAGGCGTTGACGCCCTGGACCTGTGCGGCATGGCGTTGTCGTCCTGGAGGACAGCAGCAGGCCCAATTTGCTGCAGCGCCATGATGACCAGAGGTCGAAAGATCTCCTGCAGATACCGCTGCCCTGTCAGGATGCCTTGACTGCCTTGTCGAGAATGGTGGCCACACGCGCTTCTGACAATTCCCTTGACATTCACGAAATTGAACTGGTATTGCTGGGACTTTTTGAGACCCTTTCTTTTGTGATTTTAGATTTTGAGGCTGGGTCCCTTTTGAGCTCTGGGAATTACCAATTTCGGTCTCGATTGTGACGAAATTTCTTTTTTGCACTTATGGATTGATGAATTAAATGTGTGTCAAAGAAGGCATAATTTGATTTGCTGGTTTTTATTTTGAGTGTACTTTGTAAGTGGTCCTTAACTTTTTGTGAAGACTGTATGAGCACCAAGGGGTGGATGTCAACAGAGAAGTCCTATCGGGGAATCAGGCTTACTCTGCTCACCTCTCTTGCCTCAACAGCACAAAGCCTGCTTCGTCTAACGCGATAAACATCAAAAGAAAAATCAATCTGGCTATTCCATAGTATTTTTAGTTTTAGTAAGTGTTTTACGGCAATTGCAACACAATTTGGTCATATAACTGCCGAAGATTAGAGGTGTTACAAGCGAGTAACAAACACAAAAAAGAAAGAGGGGAGATGAAGACGATAGATGTTTGACAGGAAAGGAGCAAACCACAGAGCACCCGCCAACCACCCACTCCACGGTAACTGACGGGAAAAACATCAAAACAACAATCAGGTTATTCTGTTTTTGTTTCAGTTAGGTTTTACGGCGCTCGCAACTGCATAAGGTCATTCATTAGTATTACTATCTTCATTACTATCATTAATATTTTTATTACTATTGTCATTATTATCATTGTTATTATTATTATCACAAGTATTGTTATCATTATTACAATTATTATTGTTACTTTATTATTTTGTCATTATTATTTATTATCATTCTCATTCTCATTATATTATTATCATTATAACTATTATTACTTATCATAACTTTTTAATTATTTTGTCATCATTATTATTATTTTCTCCTCATCATCATTATATCATTAATACTATTACTACTGATTTTTTACTTTTTAAATTATTTTGTCACTACCATATTATTATTCTCATCAGTATATTATTATCATTATTATTATTATTATTGATCATTACTTTTTAAAAATTATATTGTCATTATTATCATCCTCATCATCATTATATTAATATCATTATTACTATTATTGATTATTATTTTAAAAATTATTTTGTCCTTATCATATCACTATTATCCTCATCATCATTATATTATCATTACCGTCATTATCATCACCACACACTCACTCACCCTCGCCATCAGCCGGAACCTCAAAGATGGACGATTTCAAAGAGATGCTCTTGTTATTCCTGGCGAAGATGGCGACCGACACACTCTGGGCGCAGGGCAGGTCGTCTGCATCCAGGAAGTTGACCCCAGGGCCTGCAGGGATCGACCGGTCCAAAGCCGGAATCTCCACCACATATTGGGTCAGCTCCCCTCGCACCACGTCTTTCGCCATCGTCTGAACAGGAAAAATGAAAAAGTATAGCCGCTTTGTTTGTTTCGTTTAGTTTTTTGTAAGGTTTTGTTTCAGAAAGAGTTTTTTGTTTTTCAGTTTTAGTAGAGGTTTTACGGCGCTCGCAACTGCATAAGGTCATACGAGCGCCAGAAGATTATAGGTGTTACAAGAGAGTAACAAACATAAAAAAGAAGGAGGGGAGATAAGGACGATAGATGTTTGATAGGAAAGAAGAAACAAACCACACCAGAGCACCCTCCAACCACCCACATAGCAGTAAGAGTTTTACCGGCACTTGCAACACAATAAAGTCATATAAGCGCCAGTAAAATCCAGACATATATTCTAATAAAAGTCAAACTTATATTCCAGTAAAATCTCTTACATTCCAAAAAGTCAAATTTACATTCCAGAAAAAAGCTCTTACATTCAGTAAACCAAACTAACATTCCCATAAAAGCTCTTACATTACAAAAAATCAAATTTACTTTCCAGTAAAAGCTCTTACATTTCAATAAACCAAACTAACATTCCAAAAAAAAAGCTCTTACATTTCAGTAAACCAAACTAAGATTTCAGAAAAAAAGCTCTTAAAATTTCAATAAACCAAACTAAGATTTCAGAAAAAAAGCTCTTACATTTCAATAAATCACACTAAGATTTCAGAAAAAAAGCTCTTACATTTCAATAATCCAAACTAAGATTTCAGAAAAAAAGCTCTTACATTTCAATAAACCAATAAACCAAACTAACATTCCCAAAAAAGCCAAACTTACTTTCCAGTACAGGCGCACTTGTCTAGTGTTGGAGACCGGGTCACATGGCTCACTGAGGAAGCTGTTCGACTCGATAGGAGGGCCCCGAAGAGGAACTGGAAAGAGAAAAGAAAAGGAACTGTTTGATTTTTGTTGTTTTAAACAGAGAAGACCAAACGGGTAATCAGACTTACTCTGCTCACCTCTCTAGCCTCAACAGCACAAAGTCTGCTTCGACTATCAAGGCACCTCGGAAATAGCAGTTCACAAGAGAGTGACAAACATACGAAAGAAGTAGAGGAAAATAACAATAGTAGGGATGAGGACAGAAAAAGCAGAGCAGTACAAGCAAAACTTGGCTGAATAGCGATAAAGATCTATGTTTGTTTGTTTGTTTGTTTGTTTGTTTGTTTGTTTGTTTGTTAGTAAAGAGAAGAACATCAACACAATAATGGTCATTTAGAGACTGGGAAAGTAAGACGCACAGACAGACGGAAGCAAGAGAGGGAAAGTAATAAAGTACGACCTACCAGTGACACTCTCCAACCACCCACACAGACAGAAACAACAGAGGAAAAGTAAAGAAGTAGGACCTACCAGTGGCACCCTCCAACCACTCACACAGACAGAAACAACAGAGGGAAAAGTAAAGAAGTAGGACCTACCAGTGACACCCTCCAACCACTCACACAGACAGAAACAACAGAGGAAAAGTAAAGAAGTAGGACCTACCAGTGGCACCCTCCAACCACTCACACAGACAGACAGAAATTTTTATTTTTTTTTATAGTAGAGGGTTTTAGCTCTCACTAGCAAAATTGAGGGCAAGCGAGGCAGGGGTAGGCCTGGAACAACATACTTAGGGAACCTGAACAAAAGGATAACAGGGAAAGATCAGGGAAACATAGCTTTTTTGAGAGCATCCGAGCAAAGGAATGAATGGAGAACCATGATCGCCGATGTCTGTCGCAGATCTGGCATGGATGATGATGAGAGGGTTTTACGGCGCTCGCAACTGCATAAGGTCATATGAGCGCCAAGGGGTGGATGTTAACAGAGAAGTCCTTCAGGGAATAAGACTTACTCTGCTCACCTCTCTAGCTTCAACAGCACAAAGTCTGCTTCAACTATCAAGGCACCCCAGAAATAGCAGGCCACAAGAGAGTGACAAACATAATACAAAAGAAGTAGAGAAGGAAAATGACAATAGTAAGGATAAGGAAAGAAAAAGCAGCAGTTCCCTGTTGCAGATCAGGCACAGTTATGAGCGTGACATGATGAATCAGCCCATTTACAGTTCTACTGTGCTTTAACGAGAAATGTCCCCCC